GCTTGCTCCATCCGGCCAGTCCTCCTGGCACTGCACGTTTCAGGGCATCAAGACAGTTTGAATGAGCCTGTTTCCCAATCAATCTCAGGGTTGTGCTCGCGTAGCCAATCCAACCCAACGATCACATCCTCTGGACCTATGTCCGTGACCGTAAACACCGTCTTCTCGACGTGATCTCCTGTCTGCATCTGTAGCACCGCTACTTCCGAGATGCTTCCGTCTTTATTCAGGGTGCCGTCGATATTATAGAGCGGAATAGGCTCCTTTAGCCTCCACGTCTGCACCTTATTTTCTGTGATGAATCGTTTATTGATAAACTTCGTGGTGGCTCCGCTGTCCACCATAGCGATTACGTCCTTGTGCCGTCTTTCTCCTTTGAGGCGCACCGGGATGTGGAAATGCTGGGACCCATGGTCCAACTCGTACACATTTGCGGTTGCCAATACATTGTACAGATTATTATTACGGGGTCCGACGCGTGCGGCACGAAGTGCGGACCGGATCAAAAAGACTCTTCTTTGAGCACCCGATAGTGCTCCAACTCCTCGCACATCGACTTCACCTGTGCCATCAAGTCCGCCAGCTCGGAACTTTCCGATTTCGCTGAAGTGGTGCTTGTACTCGCTGAGGATGAAGCGATGGGGGCGCTTGTCGCAACCTGGGTGGAACCCGAGGCAACCGTAGCCCGCGCGTCAGCGCGTTTTGTGTAAGGTTTGTCCTTACAGTTGGGGCACTCGAAGCGTCGGTACCCTTGCTTCCCGCAGCCAAAGCATTCGCCGGGGAAGTTTCCTTTTCCGACGGCCGCGTTGATGCTGGCCGAAGCTCTGTGTGACTGGGGTGCACCACCACGTGCCCCGCCGCGTCCTCGACCTTGAGCCGAGAAGAAATTGTTCAACTCAGGCCGACAGGCCCGGCTGATATCGAGGATCTGTTCGACCTCTGTGGCGCGCTTGTCAGCGTCTTCCCATGTGGTGAACATCTCGAGCTCGATTTTGCAGTAGACGCGGGAGGGGATGCCGCTCAGGTACTTGTCGCGTAACTCCAGGTCCCCATACCCAGAGCGGTCCGCCGGACCCTTGAACAGCGCAGAGAACTCCGCCGCAGTGTGTTTTTCACGGACTGATTTGTCCACGCAGAGTTTGGCCAGCTCTACCTGGGCCGCTGCCTCATCGTCGAGGTTGCCGAAGCGGGCTTTGAAAGTCATGGCAAAGGCCGCCTCATTTGCGAAGGGGGTCGTCACTCCCTGAATACTGAGTTGCACGGATACGAGTTGGGCGAAGTAGGGAGTGGCCCAGGTGCGGGCGTCACCGTCGAGCAGGCTCAGTGCAACCTGCACCTTGAGTTCAATGGTGGTCAACGACGTGTTGACCAGCCAGTAGATGCGCAGCTGCGACAGGAACCTGTCGCACTCAATGATGGTTTTGCCGTCATACCGGAGGGGAAGGAGAAGCTTCAGGGTCTCCTTGTCGGGGGCGGTTGCGGTAGAGGACATTATCGGCGGCGGGGGGGACGGAGGACGGCGCGGGGGTGGAGGCGGCTGTGGTGGCCCTCCGCTGGTCGGACTTCGAGGGGAACGAGTGCGCGAGCGGCCTCGCGGCGGCGATGGCGGTGAAGGCGCTGGAGGAAGCCCGGAGGAGGGGTCACGTACGTCAGGGACTGCTGACGCGGGGGCGAGCACTGTCAGCGAGGTGGGCCGAGCAGAATTCGTGGACTCGGACTCCGAGATTCCTTCTTCACTCGCACTCTCTTCAGGCTCAGGCTCTGGCGCAGGGTCTGGAGGGAGATCTCCTCGTGCTTGACTTGGACTGGCGACCGGTCGGGGAAGACGGGAGCTGGGAGGGACAGGGTAAGAATGCCGCGAGGCGGATCGGGATGCGAGGGTGCTTCGAGGACCGAGCGGATGTTGCGCCCTTCGGATCGCTTTATAGCGCGGATAGTCCTGGTCAATCGATCGAGGTGTCCGATTTGGGCACGGTTGTGTCTCGCAGGCGAAGATGAGAGTGGTAGGACCGTCAGTGATGTAGACGTTGACGAGGTCCTTGGAGTCGAAAGCGTGAACAAGGCCTTGACACGCAGCCACGATGGGAGGGAGGAAGGGGAGGTGCGCGTGCTACGAAAGGCCGTATAAGCTAGCTTACACCTACGGCGCCCGAGGTAACACTAGGGTTCGCAATTCACGTGGGGCCCAGTACTGCTTTTGGCTAGTATGCAGCAGGAACCAAGGCTACGCGTCCGTGAGGACAAGTACCGCCCACTAAAGTGCAGGTACTGAAGAGTTCGTCTCTCGAGTGTTGGCGATGTATCATAGGCTATCTACGTATTGTAGGGTACAGTAAGGGTGCGCACCACCCAACCTGTGGGAGAGGGAAGTGAGTGTGTTTTGTTTTGGAACGCCGGCAGCGTTGGGGAGTTTCGACCTAATGTCGTGACTTAGGGTCAAGCGACAGGGGAAAACCTAAAGCTGGGGGTGTTCGACTTATCCTACCGAAGCGATGGTGAGCGAGGCTCAAACCTAAGGCTAGGGACAAGAAAGTGTATTAGTTAGTTAAGTAAGAAAAGGAATACATGAGAGGCTTACTGACCTAGGGACAAGAGGTCGAAACTGAGGTCCCTAGGGCAGCAGAGGCCAGCTTATATATAGGAGAAGATAAGGGCAGGCTGTGCGCACTGGTCCGTGCGCAGCTGGTCCGTGCATAGCATGCTGACGCAGCCCCAGGGGCCAGTGAGTCAGAGAGGCTGTGTCAGCGGTGTCACGAGTTGGTACGGCGTCTAGCCGTTTTTTAATTTTTTCCCTTTTGCGGGCTCGAACCCGCGACCTCTGTACTACATGCCTGATATGGACGCATCACTATCT